TGTGTGCGTGTGTGCGTGTGTCCCCTGTAATCGAAGCAGATGTGCAGTTTGCCGGGGCTTGAAACTGCTTCTTATATTAGTCGCATGTTTGCACTGATTGGCTCTCCAGGGCTGTTTGCGGCAGCTTCCATTAAGTCTAAATCCCGACTGAAAATATGGAAAACAACCTTCTTGCACTACAATGATAAGTGCAGTATTTTTCATTTCTACTGTTGATTTTGGAAGTAAAATTAAAGGGTACAAGCACAAACCTAATAATGTAATGGAACTGTATGGTAACTTAATTATAAATATAGAATATGCAGTAAGGACTGTTTACAGTGCTTCTGTATGCTTGAACCTGCCATATAGTTACTGTTTATTGCTTCTAGAAAAACAAGTACTTCTGCATATCTTTGTTATCGACTGAAATATTCATAATGCAACTCACTTAAGAGTTTCCATGTGGTCATGACTCACTGCACAGCATGTAATCCATGAACAAGTGGGCTAAAACTTGACTTTATATTTTGTAGTTATAATCAACTCTTTGCAAGGCTGCTCTCTTGCTGTCCCAAGGTAATAGATAAATGCTGAGCTTGTGATCCTTGGCAAAGGTTTAGGTTTAGTATGCAAGTCCCAAACGCACTGACTGCAACTGGATTTTGGGGTTTGTTTAGTTTCCCCAGTTAACCTTTTTTTTTTTTTTTTCCTTCTTCTTCTTCTCTTGAATCTTGTCCTCTCTGCTCTTCGGGAGTTGAGAACAGAGAATCAAAGCTAGGGTGAAAAGATTTTAATTTCTTGGCTTTTGTGCTGGTGTTACTGTGTTTGCACGATTCAGGTTACTTTTGTCTTAAGTCCTGTTGCCGTTTGGTGCCACATGTGTGACAGCTCATATGCTGCAGAAATTAGAGTAGTGCCTCAGTGTGTTAGAAATTAGATGTTTGCGATTAGGAGTGTTTTAAAAAAAAAAAAAAAAGTTAGTCAAATGAAGTGCTGCTTCACTGCGCTGATGTTCTGGCACAAAATTAACTAAGAGGTGTATGTCAAAGCTACAGAGTGCTGGTGGGGAAAAGTGCTAATTGCCTAAACTCTTTACAGCTTTATTAGGCAACTCAGGTTGAATAATATGCTAAGCTATTATGTTGGAGCTACTGTATGAAATTCTCACACATGAGAACTTATTTTGATTAAAAAAAAAAAAAAAACTGGTTTGATATCTGTCTGGTATTTTAATTGCAAATATTAGTTTATGCAACCAAAGCAGTGATGGCAAGTGGTTAGTGTAATACGAAGCATCAGCACCATCTGGTGGTCTTTGCAAAGCTTGGTAATGATCTTGGCGTTCCTCTGACAGTGGAGCTTCATCATGCTGTGTGATAAGACGCCTTTCAGGCTTCAAGGCCCTAAGTAGCCTTTCAGGGGCACTGGAGAGGAGGTGGGTGGAAAGACCCTCCCCCCCCCCCACCCCCCTCAGGAAATTTTGCAAAAAAAGTCTTCAGTGATAGCACTCCTTGTTTAAACCTGCTTAGTACTTTAAGAATGAGGAGTGTGCTTGGCATGTTTATCATGCTACTTGGTACGCTGAAGAGTGGCAAATACATCTCATGCTAGAAATGGGAAGGAAAAGGGAAGAAACTGGTGTGTGCCTGTGCGTTGGGGTTCCCCTCCCCTCTGGCCATCTTGACATGTCTTTAAAATACCTGCTGCGATATAAAAAGTTAAAAATAGAAAACATCACTGTTTTTGAATCTTAAACAAAAAGGAAATTTATGTTGAAGTGTTAGGGAACAAAATGCAATCGTAAGTCTGGTTATATAGGTGGAGAAGAAACTGTGCTTCCCCCCGCCCCCCCATGAGAGAAGGGTTACAAAGTACATACGGCATCCTTGTATGTGATGGGGTTGAGGCCGCTGGACTAAGATAGCATCTGAAAATACTTTTTCACAAAGGTGTGAAACTTCTGTATATTCACTTGTTTGTTCAGTGGTGGTAGATATGTTTGTACTGTTTAACAACACTTGTCCATTTGATCTATGGCTTTCTCTGAAAGAAAGTCTCCATAACTTTTTCTGTTGCAAGCGTAGTGAGCATAGTGCTGTGTCAGCTCCCAGCAGCAAGCAGGCTTTTGGGTGCTTGCAGTGTTGAACTGCTCCAGCTGGGCCCAGCTGCACAAGAGCGCAGCCAGAGGGGTGCTGGGCAGTGTGCTGTAATCAGCCAGGCAGCTGCTGCAAGACCAATTGCCTTGAGCAAAGCGCTGTGCTGATGTGATTACCCTGGTTCTAGAGCTATTTTGGTTTGCATTGGTGCAGCTCTGTGTGGTGTGAGCGTGTTTGTGGAGTCTGGTTAAGCAGGTCTTCCAGTGAGCATGAGGAAATGGGGTATTAAGGTAGGAGAGGCCGTAGTGAGCTGTTGTGCAGTGCAGCGTCTCATAAACGCTTCCTAAACGTTCTGCATGTAATGTGTTTTTTTCTGCTCAGTTACCATGACATTGTTCTGAATAACCCCACTTCTGCTGAAATCTGGATTAGTGAGATCCTAAACATTTCTTTTAAAGACGGCTTTCATTTTGCAAGGAATTGAAACAAAATATATTGTATTTATGATCTCCTTTTGCTACACTCCTCATTAGGATAATGAGTCTTACGGGGTTATCCGCCTTTTCCAAGAGAAAATAGGTTGCTTTGTCTTTCTGCTTCTACACCAAAGTCACTGGGTTCTCATCGGGTCCTTCCATCATCTGTTTCCTTTAACCTCTGCAAAAGGCTGTTAGGAAGCAACGTGGGCATGGGTGGTTTTGGTATACCAGCGACCCAGGTCACTTCTGTGCTTGTGTTGTTTAATTCTGCCGCTGTCTTTCAGTGTTCAGATGAGAGGAAACAAATAGGGGTGAGCAGGAGAAAGCTCAGCTCGATGGTGTGACTGGGAGTGGTGATCAGTTAGAGGAAGCAACTGAGAGATTTTTAGGAAGAGAACGGACATTGTGAGGTTATTGCTGGTAGTCTCTCGGTCACAACTGGTGCTAGTGTTAGTCTGTGAAGTGGCTGCTAAATACCATTTCTTAGGAGTGATGCAGAGAGGGGAAACCTTCTTGCCTTTGATGAGGAAGTGAAAGACTTAGGAGGGTATTTTTTGTGGGGTTTTTTTTTGGTACCTTTTGAGGAGGATCCTGCTGTCCTAATCCCTGCTTTGATTATCATTTGTTCTAGATGAGATTGTTTTAAACTTGTTTGCAAACTGAAGGAAGCACAGAATTCAGCAGCCCACCTAGTGACACATGTGGCCAGATGTTTTACGCGTCACACTAGCAAATGCTATTTTCTGTTTGAAAGTAAGCACTAACTTTTCATCTGTGTAACTTGAAGCAGGATCAGAGAGGTTGCTGCTGAGGTGCAGATACCGATTGGCTGCTTCTCTGAAGATCCTGCCAACTCCTGAAATAATTCCTT